TTTTTTCAACTAATGACTAGACATGCTCGTATTGTCGTGTGGCCGTACGGCCCCACGGGGATGGGTTGGTGAATGGGGGCAGGGGTGGTGTATGGGTGGTGTAACACTGTAACCAGGGGCCAACGGCTCGGTTTTGTATGGGTTGTGCTTCATCATCGATTTATTTATTCGAAGCTAATGCTGTCTATCGTGACGCAAGTGCGCTTCGCGACTCTTTGTTGTCACACGCTGCGGTTGTGACATCATGACGCGGAACACTGGCAAGGAGCAGGTGGCCGCCGACCAGGCCGCGACAACAAGTGAGAGTGGTACAAGAAAGGGACACAACTCGAAGACTTTCGACTCTCCGTTCAAGATTGATGCTGGTGTGGATGTCAAACGCGATGACCCTGTGTGGCATTTTGTTGCACGTGGCCGATACTTGTACCCCGAGACGGCGGTGGGGAGGAAGAGTGGTCGACGATGTGTCTGCAGATTGTGCGGGAAATCCATTTGTGGGGGCAGTAGAGAAGCGAAGGAACATTTCTTCAAAAGCAAGTAGTTCAGATGCCCGGCGGGGACCCCTGCTGTGTATTATACCATATGGGCGAAGAACATGGACAAGTGTCCGAAGGACTTTGTTGTCTCGATTGAGGAGTTGAAGAGGCTCCCTCCTTGCGCTCCGGCATTCCAGTGGCCGGAACTTTTATTCCCAGAGGTCTCGGAGCCTCGCCGGTCGCTTGCTAGTGAGGCAGGGCCGTCTCGCGGTGCAGTTGGTGCACCAGTTCTGGCACCTGTGGCGGGAGGACCGTCGGCCGGTGCAGTCCCACCGCCGGTACTTGAAGGGACCGCGGTGCCGTCGGCAGAGGCAACGATACCACCACCTGCGTCGCTCGAGGGCCACCGTATCTCTCCGTCGGTTGGATTGCATCCTATGTTCACGACTACCGCAGCCAGAGCATCGGCTGCAGCAGGAGCTCCTCTTGCGGGTGACCGAGGCACAACTGCGGCAGCCACGACTCGGTGGTCTCCACCTCGACCTCCACGTTCAGCTCCATCTTTGGCAGCGGCTGACTTGCGGGCGCCACAGCGCACAGGCGCGGTACCTACGTCGCGGTGGTCTTCTCCTCATCCTCCGCGTTCAGCTGCCCCTCAGTCGCACCCACCACCGCACCAGGACGTGCAGGGGACTGCGGCTCACACGCATCCACCATCGACTCAGGCGGCAGAGGGCACGGGTCCGCCCCCACCAATTCCACTATCTGATTCTTCGCCCACGCCTGCTGTCGAGACTGCCCCCACATTCGCTGGTGTGGTCGCAGGGGATTTGGATCCTATGGAGCGGCTACGCAACATTCCACTTCCACAGGCCGCCACACCGGCGAGTCTAGCTGGTTTGTTTGACATGAGTGCCTCTGGTACGGTCGCACGAGGGAGGGGCACATACAAGCAGCAGGCGGTCACCTCGTATTATTCTGACCCTAGAGAGCGTGCATGACACATGACGATCATGCGGTTCATCGTGGAGAGTGGCATGCCATTTAACTGCGTGAAGCTTGAGAGCTTCAGACGGATGTTCACAATCATCATCCCTCCTGGGGTCCCGGGGCTCCTGTGCCTAAACCCCCGACTTATCACATGGTTCGAACGACGTTGTTGGACGAGCTGGATGCAGAGGTGCAACGGTTATGCGGGGGAGGAAGGACGCGCAAGCATTGGAGAAGGCATGGTTGCACAGGTTGAAGACCCTCGATATCCAGCTCAGCGACATCACGGCGTTTGTCACGGATTCTGCAGGTGTGAACGTGTCCGCCATGCAGATATTCGAGGAGGACGAAAGCGTCAAACATATTTTTTGGATTCCGTGTGTGGCACATGTTATGGACCTCATCTTGGAGGACATTGGGTCCATTGGATGGGTGGCATCACGCATTGCTCAGGCGTGACTCGTCACGAAGTTCTTCAAGCGCCACAGTCACGAACGCGAGGCTTTGGAGAAGAAGACGAAGCTGAAGTTGTTGTTGCCCGCAGAGACTCGTTTCGGCACCAACGTCATCATGATCAGGAGATTGTTGGATCTGCGAACCCATCTCATGCAGGTCGTTACCGAGGACCCGTGGCGCGACACTGTTTGGGCCACGCTGAAGGTCGATCAGGCAGCCGCCGAGATCACAGCATGTGTGGGGTCTCCTCCATGGTGGGAGGATTTGAGGCGTTTGTGTAATATCATGGATCCGGTCATGGAGATGCTGCAGATGCTGGACAGTGACACACGGCAGATCAGCAAGGTCCTGCGTCGGTATGAGATTATGATCGCATCCTATCTTACCGCGTGCGACTCCCTCACTGCGATAGAGCAGGATGAGATCCTTGAGGTTTTCGACAGGCGGCGCACCATGTTTCATACTCCAGTGCACATAGCGGCCATGATGCTTGATCCTGAGTTTCGGGATGCCACCCTGCCAGACGACGATGTGATGCAGCAGGGGTTGATTGCCGCTTTGGTTCAGTTTGGCTACCCCGAGGGATCTCCGCAACACATTGAGGTGCTCACCGCGATCGACAAGTTTCATGTCAGGGAGAGGCGATAGAGCGATGAGGAGCTATGAGCACCTGTCCAGTTTTTGGGAGTCGAAGTCGCGCAGGTTTTCACACACCCCATACTTTGCCATGAGGATCCTGCGCGTTTGGACGACAGGGTCGCCCTATGAGAGAGCTTGGTCCCGTTGGAGTTTCATCCACTCGAAGACTCGCAAAAGGTTGGAGGTTGGACGGGCTGAGAAGCTCGTGCGGTGCCATTGGAACCTCCATCTTCTCGACCGTCCATCTCTGACCGAGGATGCTCCTCACGACAAACCCGATCAATTCGGGAAGTGGGTTCACTATTGGCAGCATTTGGAGGACGAGTTGCCCACTGACCAGCAGCTTGTTGCGGGGAGTGGAGCGAGATTGGCAGCCACACAGGAGGAGATGCGTGTGGCGAGGGAGCGGATGCGCAGTGTTTCTCGCATGGGCACCGAGCATCGCCTTGTCCAATCGAACAAGAGACGACGTGGACGTGTTCGGGGTCGTGGCGGGCGTGGTGGGCGTGGGGGGCGTTCTGGTCGTGGACGAGGTGGGCATGGGGGACGTGGACGTGGATCAGCGGGCGGGATATGTCCTCGTAGTGCGCAACTTGGGCTGCGTGATGAGGCGATGGTCAAACTTATTCGTTTCCCTCGACAACATTGGGACAAGGGTGATTTTTTGTATCACAGCTCCGATAGCGACGACGAGGATTTTTTCTGTACCGCCATGCCGCGAGGCGGAGACGACGACGGCAGGCCGGACGACGACCGTCCGGATGATGACGATAGTGATGATGGAGCGGGCGACGGTCGGGACCCTCAATCGTTGAGACGGGGTGGTGGCACTGGTGGGAGAGGTGCTGTTGCACCACGAGATGCAGCACGTGATGGCGGAGGATTAGACGTCGTCGACGGTGGAGGCGGCTCAGGTGGGCCACAGGCCGAGGATACCGGAGCAGCGCTGGAGCGTACACGTGCGGATGTGGCTATGGACGCCGAGCAGCATGTGGGAGTGGACATTGTCGACGGTGGAGGCAGCAGGGATGGACAGGCCAGTCCCCCACATGGCTCGAGACCTCACCTCTTACGATTGCGGCATGGGCCGAAGAGGACACAGTTGATTGCCGATCGTGTGCGGCACCGCCACGGGACCCTCCCCCCCACCGTTCGTCCACGAGCCGTTGAGTCTGAGCTTGTCCCCGTTTCCGAGGACTCCATGAGTGATGGGCCCGTCGATGAGCGACACCCGTCACCTGCAGGCTCGATGTGGGAGACACATCCGATTGCCGACGGGGCACAAGAGGACGCACGTCCAGTTCATGGCGCAGAGCAGGACGCACATCCACTTCCACGCAGTCCAGTACTCGATGGTGGTATGGACGCGGCTGACGTGTGCATGGAGGTGATGGAGGCGATGGACTTAGGATGTCCCCCTGCGCCGATGACGGACGTAGATCAGCGCGCCGAAGCGCCGAGTGGATTACCACGCACAGATATCTAAGGAGTGTCTACCATGGAGGATGGTGAGATCACTCTAGTGGCGGGAGGCCTAGGAGACGGGAATGTTTGCCTCTCTCACCCCATCGGCAGTCTTCCTCGAACTGCTGACCTGCTCTCCATAGGTTCTGCACTCGACGGGCTCCTCGACATCCGCACCCTCGTTTCACCGTCATTGCCGTACGTGCAACCCCCTTGCCCCGATGGTGGGAGCACCCGGGCCGCAGGAGACGAGGATGTCGGTCTCGCGTGCCCCGACGGTAGTCTTCCTCGCATAGGCGACATCGTGGGCATGGGCACGCTCCCCGACAGCATGTTTGGTGCTGACACAATTATTCCACCATTGTTGCCGCTCGTGCCGCCCCCTGGCCTCCAGGGTGGGCCCGTCCGCGACGCAACAGACAGAGGGTTTGACGAGTTCGGTGGAGATACGATATTGTCTGCCATGGCCTTTGCAACCCCATCCGTATTTCGGGTGGGGAAACCCCACGAGGTCGCTCTAGGCTTGGCCGAGACCACGACACGCCATGGAGGTCTGCCACATACGAGGGACGGGCGTAGCTCCGCACAACGTAGCCTCGCTGACTCTTTGGACGGAGCGTCTTCTGACAGCGGCGCGCGAGAGGGTGCACCATTGGGTGGACTTGGAGGGGATCCTTGTATGGGAGCACCGTCGACGACCAGGGGTGGAGAGGGTCGATCAGGGGCACCTCCGACCAGCGCGAGCCACACAGAGCCTGGGAAGGACATTACACCAGCTTCGTCGGCTGCTGGTCGCACTGGTGACAGACCTGCCACGCGCATGGATTCTGCACCACATGCGGTCGGGAGGGGCGGTAGGGAGGAGTGACAGGGAGGAGCTTATGCGGGGGGGTCTGGCCCACCTGTGCCAAGGTTGGCAGCATCGTCTTTTTACGACCGGGGGAGAGCAGCACCAGTCGATGGCGGAACCGCGGCAGGGAGGAGTGCATGCGGCATTCCAGATGTGCCCTTTGGAACACGTTCCATCGTTGCTGTTGGCGGTCGTAACCATGGTGCGATGCGTGAGTATGAGGACCAGCATGGCAGACGGCTGGCCACGAAGACATCAGATGTTGCCTTCACCAGGGTGGTAAAGGCTAGTATGTCGTGTGCAAAGAGTAAGGGCGGACGCGAGAGGTCTTCACAACATTCGAGTCATCGTGGCACCGCACCAAGGGAGTCTGTGCATGGTGACACTCAGGACGAGGAGGTTGCTGCAACGCATGGTGGTGTACCGGAGGATGGACAGGCAGGTAATGGAGGCCGTTCACGCAGATTGTCACACGTGCATGACAACTCCGGCAGCGCAGGGGATGAGCGGCGCAACCACACCGAGGGGGCTGGTCGTGGAGAGAAGAGACGAGGTGCTCTCACCATTGTACACGATGACAGTTTTGACATCCCGATCGGCGAGTCGACGGGGGCCGACAACCCAGGTGACTCCGATTATAGACCGGATGGATCTCGACCTTCACGCATGGAGTATGGATCTCGACCTGCACGCATGACAGATGGATCACGACCAGCACGCATGGCGAATGGATCTGATCCTGGAGGACGTCGACTCAGACGCAGGGCAACACTCGATGCACAGGGACATTTGACTCCTTCGACTCTGAGACCATTCATTCCCCGGCCCCGGGTTGACAGGGGCGAACAAACTCGTACAGTCCTACTGGCAATAGAGGTTAGGCGACTTCAGAGATTGACCCCTGCATTGATGAGAGAGAGAGGCAGACAATCACAGACATAGGGGGAGTGACAGGGGGGGGGGTAGGTGATGGATCTGATGGTGGAGGCGGGAAGGAGGGTGGGCTTGGGAGTGAGAGAGAGAGTGCAAGAGAGAGAGAGTAGTCTTCTACATGGGCATATCTATTTTTGTCGGGCCCATTGTATTTTAGTTGTGTTTGAGAGAGAGAGTAGTCTCCTACACGGGCGTCGTCAGAYTCGTCARTGTCRTCACCATCRAGCCTTCSGCGTGGAGTTTGAACCGTTGTATTTTTGTTGTGTTTGARGTTCATATGCTCGCTCAATGTACTCTCTATGTTCGGGTTGCGGCCTTAGAGGAGTACCATTGTAGCCTTRTAGGAAGTTGTAGCCTTGTAGGCRCTATATTTTTCTTGTGTYTGAGGTTCATATGCTCACTGCCTGTACTCTCTATGTTCGGGTAGCACTCTGTATGTTGTAGCCTGTAGGATACTTCATGGATAATGGTTTTTGGAACTTTGTGCACTGTCGCTTGCATTGTTCCATCTTGTCTCATTTGGATTTTCATTGTATGCAGTTTCATTGCCTACTATTCAGTACATTTGTTCTTGTTGAAATTACACCATGAATTGTTGTCGACTTTGTTTGATGTTAGTAACAACAGCAAGTGACAGCAGCTGTCAGCAGGGAACCTATTGATGCGGAAACTGCGGTGGTATGATCGTATGAGTCCGTATGACTCTTGCACATGTTTGGTGTTAGTGACAATGAAGAACCTATTGATTCTTGACACTGTTTGTCAGTAAATCACTATGTTTTACTATACATACTACTATTAAGTGTAGTAATTAGTAATTACTGCAGTAAGAGTGTGTATGACTAATAATGGTGTGCAAATAATGGTGATTATTGATCTATAATTATTGATGTTCTGATTTTTTKATTTATTATTATTATTTTTTTTGCTTTCATTCTCTGTATTTTGCATTAGTAGCAGGCTAGCAGCATTACATCTTTGTGTAAGTTAAACGCAGTTTAAGTAACCATGCATTATRAACCTCCGRGGGCCGCCGGCCTCCGGGCCACAGTCCCCCGGCTCCTGCCCCCAACCGTAGGCCTTGCGCGCGGCATGCAAAAAAARAAAAGTAGGTGGTTTGCGAACTTCCACCACCAGCCCCCGGCCCTCGGTCCCCCGGCTCCGGCCCCCAACCGCAGGCCGCACACCCAACAGGGTCCAAGGCCTTAGGCCGCCAGCAGGTCCAGCATGCCCCGCCACACGGCCCACACCCGTCCGCCAACTTGCACCGACCCCCAGCTCTCAACAGCCCACACCGACCGTGCCGCGCCACAGCAGCCCTGCACTGCCTCAACACCTCCCCCCCACACACACC